CTCCCCACTCCCGCCCCCCTCCTGCCTTTTCCCACACTGTTGTCTGTGTCCATTGGTTGTGTATATATGCATATAAGTTTTTTGGTTTATTTTTTTTCCAACCCCCAAACCCCCTTCCCTTTGAAGTGTGTCAGTCTAGCAACCAATTTGTTCTTAATCCCTTCACCTTTTGCACCCATTTCTCCAACCCCCCTCCCATCTGGCAACCAACAAAATGTTCTCTGTATCTATGAGAATGTTTCTGTTCTGCCTGTTCATTTTGTTTGTAGATTCCATTGTCAGTAGATATGTGTTCATTGCCATTTTGTTTGTTCATTTTTTTTTTTTTTTTTTTTTATCCTCACCCGAGGACATTTTTCCATTTTTTGTTCAGGTAGAGTGGGAGGGAGAGAGAGAGAAAAACATCGATGTGAAAGGAACACTTTGAGTGGCTGCCACCCACACAACCGACCAGGGCCGGGGACAAACTGCAACCGAGGTACGCGCCCTTAGCGGGAACCGAACCCGGGTCTCTCAGGACCGCAGGCCGACGCTCTAACCGCTGAGCCAAACCGGCCAGGGCTTGTTCATATTTTTTATCTTTTTCTTCAAAAAGACCCTTCATCATTTCATACAATAATGGTTTGGTGGTGATGAACTCCTTTAACGTTTTCTTGTCTGGGAAACTCTTTATATGGCCATTGATCTAAATGACAGCTTTGCAGGATAGTCATCTTGGTTGTAGGTTCTTGCTTTTCATCACTCTGAATATTTCTTGCCACTCCCTTCTGGCCTGCAAAATTTCTTTTGAGAAATCAGCTGACAGCCTTATGGGAACTCCCTAGTAGGTAACTAGCTGCCTTTCTCTTGCTACTTTTAAGATTCTCTCTTTGTCTTGAACCTTTTGCCTTTTGATGATGATGTGTCTTGGTGTGGGTCTCTTGGGGTTCATCTTGTTTGGGACTCTCTGTGTTTCCTGGACTTGTATGTCTGTTTCGTTCACCAAGTTAGGAAAGTTTTCCGCCATTATTGTTTCAAACAGGTTTTCAATTTCTTGTTCTCTCTCATCTCCTTCTGGCACCCCCAAGATGTGAATGTTGGCACGCTTGAAGTTGTCCCAGAGGCTCCTTACACTATCCTCATTTTTTTGGATTCTTTTTTCTTTTTGCTGTTCTGATTGAGTGTTTTTTGCTTCCTTATATTCCAAATCGATGGTTTGCTTCTTGGCTTTACCTACTCTACTATTGAATCTGTGTAAATTATTCTTTATTTCAGTTAGTGCCTCCTTCATTTCTGACTGGTCCTTTTTTATGCTCTTGAGGCCCTCACTAAGTTTGCTGAGGTTCTCACTAAGTTCATTGTGCATCCTTATAAGCATTATTTTGAACTCAGCATCTGTTAGGTTGCTTATCTCCATTTTGCTTAGTTCTTTTCTTGGGGTTTTGTTCTGTTCTTTCATTTGGGACCTGTTCTTTCTTTGTCTCCTCATTTTGGCTGCCTCCCTGTGTTTGTTTCAGTGTATTACTTAACGAGAGGTATGGGGCTAGCTGAGACCAGATGCTGCTCGTTTGAAAGAATTTAGGAAAAACCTGAAGCAGGATCCAAGACAGGCCAATCCTATGGTTAAGCAAGTGGCAACAGCTTGGGTGGGCCTGAAAGTTGGGCAGGGCGGGGCCTCAGGGAGTCAGCAGGGCGGGGCTACCAGTGTGAGCCAGGTTGCTGGAGTCCCAGATATGGCTTCTGTCTGCCGCCCCAGGGAAGGGCTCACCAAAGGAACAAAGGCCTCTGACAGCACATTTGTCCCAGAGAAACCCCCCTCTCCAGCCCTCGCTCCAGTGCCAAACAGCTCAGTTCTTCCCTGTGTGTCTCTGGCGCCCCTCGAGCTGCCTCCCCTCCAAGCCTAGAGGGAGCGAGTCCCATAAGTCCGTGCGCGGGCCCTTTAAGGAGCTGCCTGAGGCTCCAGCCCCTCAACCTCCCTGAGCCTCAGTTCCTGCTGGCTTTCCATCCAGAAGTGATGGGGATTCTCTTCCTGGCACTGGAACCCTGAGTGGGGCACCTGGTGTGGGATGGGGACCCCTCAGTCCTCAGGAAGGACCTTCCCAGCAGAGGTTTCCTCCTGATTTTTATGTGCCACACGTGGGTGCGGGACCAGCCCATCCGCCCTCCTACCAGTCTGGATGTGGCTGCTGCTTTAATTCTGTAGCTGTAGGACTTCCATTCAGCTCAACGTAAGGCGGTTCTGAATGATGGTTGTTCTGTAGTTGTAACTTTGATGTGGCTGTGGGAGGACGGATACCGCATTTCTAGAATTATTTCTTCATCTTAAAAAAAAAAGTCACCAGAGCTTCCTCTCAGTTTTGTTCATTTTCATTCCATTTGCCCAGTAATTTAATGTCATTTTCCCATCTGCCCGCATGTTTTTCTTATTAGCACAGGATTTACATCTTCATTGACTAGTTCAGTTTATCATAGTTTTTCTTCAGGAAGATAAATAATCTGCACAATGACTCTCAATTCCATGCCCTCCATACAAGCATCTTCCCCTTCATCGTACAAATCTCTGTTCTTTGTCCCTCCATTTGGGAAGATTCTTCAGGGGTTTTCTAAAGACATTCCGGAGTCTGATCTACTGTTTGCTGTTTCTATATTGGTTTTTAACCTTAGTTATATTTTAGATTCTTTACCATCTTTTCTTCGTGCACCAGGCACTTAAAAAAAAATCTTGTCTCCATGTCCATCTGCTATTCACAGTATTCTGTGGGCAGTGGAGTGCAGTGGTCGAGTCCAGCTGGTGTCCAGGGTGCATGGGCCTGGCTAGGGCTCTGCCATTTGCTGGCGGTGCGACCGTGCGGAATTTGTACAAACTGCGACTCAGATGCCTCCTCTGTAAAACGGGGATACTGTGCTCATTTCATAGAGCTGCTGGGAAGACTAAGAGTTAGTTTATGTAGAACACTTAGAATAGTAACTAGTCAGTGACTTAGGTTATAATCAACCTTTATTCTACTTTCCTAAATTACTCAGAATAATTATCTGGGATTTGAGCCAACTACGGTTGCATGTATCGATATATGTATGCATGTATGTATTTTGTTTACCTATCATTTAAGGCAGCAAGTTCTACTCAGTTTTAGTTTTCCTTAATTCTTTCTATTATTCACTCCATTGTCCTTGAGTGTATCTTCTTGGTTATTACGTGCACTGATGCACTGGGTGTGTGTATCCTCTTCAGTAAAATTTCTGGGATTTTTCAGTGTTTACTTAGTGTGGCCTGTGACCTGAGGACAGAGTCCCTGGTCATGCTCATTTTAATACGGATGGAGTTTAGGGGTGGCCCATCTGAAACCATCTGTAATTCTTCCGATTTGCAGGACTAGGGAATGACAATGCCAGTTGCCAGCTGCCGGCTCTGCCAGCTCCAGCTCCCACCCCTACCACTTTGTCCTTCAAACAGCAGGTACACAGATCCTTCCCACAGCTTTGGTCTCTGCTGCATGGTACTGCCGAGGACTGTAGTCTTAGGGGGAGAGGAATTCCTGGGGCACGAAGTAAGCTTCACCACTCAGGAAATAGCACTCGTGTGAGATGAGCAGCTTACCGTCCCCGTATTGAAAAAGACTGTGTCTGTGAGCCAGGTGTTGTAGTGAGTGGGGATGAGTGCAAATCTTCAACTCCCATGTTTTGCCTTTATTTCTTTATTTATTTTTAATACTCCTTAACAGAAGGTATAAGGTGGTGGGTAGGAATTCACAATACAGACTTACATAGACCTGATTCAAACTCCAGCTGGTAGCTGGGTAGCTTAGGTGAAATCAGTTCATTTCTTTGAGCTGGAGATTCTTCATTTATACAAGGTGGACATAATAAAAATACCTGTCCCTTCTTCATGTGAGCATTTAAACCAGAGAGTGCTCAGTAAATGACAACTCTTATTGGCCTGAAAACACCCTTCTTCTACCAGCTCACAGCATACCTCTGTCCTTTCTGCAGGGCATGGGGCTCAAGACCCCGCACCCAATTCTTAGAGAATACTGTGCAGTTGGTGAGAGGTGCCTACAACTGGTTGGGTGGCAAACAAGGTGGCAGGGGCTTCAGGGCTGATACAGTCAGCTGGATCAGGGAGTGGGGCACACAATCACCCAATAACCCAAATTCTCCAAATTCCAGAGATGATTGAAGGCTCTGCAAGACAAGTTGTCGCCATGACTGCAGCACTTGTGGGTCATCCCATGTGGCTGCCAACACGAGCCCACTCTTGGCAACGCACATTCCCATTCATACTAAGTACGAACCTTTCCGGACTGCAGACAACTCCCTGAATGAAGGACCCAAGGCTCAGGCTTCTACTTCCTTATGACCTCAGACCTGCAGACCCTGTTCTTTTTCTTCATTTTGAATCTCTTCACGGATCCTTGAGGCCCTCGGACGTAAAGGGGCTTATCTTTCCCTCCATTTTAAAAGCCAGAACTTGTTTGTTTCTGGTGGTGCCTACACCTATAATATTTCAAATTCAATTGAATTGCCTACATGGGGAGCCTTTTTTTATACAGCATCTTATTTGCCTTAAAAATTCTTGTATATTTCACCCAATATTTTTTATACATTATGAGAGAGACAACATCCCCCAAACAACTCTATTATTTCTCTCTCTAAAAATAGAGACAGAAGCTGAGACTTCATTTCAAAAGAACAGTTGGTTATGTTTATATAATAACTATTATCCTTTGTCCTGCCAGTGTGCTATAGGACTTGACTTGCTCTTTGGTTTGGAAATTCCCTGTGGATTCTGGCAGATCACCCCCTCGTAATTTTAGTTTCCAGTGCTGTTAAAATTTTTTTCTTTGTGTCTTTATGAGGGCAAATCAAGAGTCACTAGCTTTTCAATATCTTATCTCAGAGCCCCTCACTGACAGTTAAGGAATTTTCAGTCTTGAAATACAAAGAATTTCAATTTATGCAAATTTTATAAACATCTTAAAGACAAACTTAATAATTCTTTGCAATCTTATCTTCTCTTTCAGCTGAATTTTATTCTGTTTCTGAATACGGTTAGAGTTCTGGCTACCAAGATTTGGGAGACCAATGCAGTTGGGCATGACACAAGAAAGCAATACAGGTAATTCCAGGACAGGCATCATTCAGAGGACGTATTTTGGTTACAATTTAGTGTAAAGAACAGATATCAATTGATATGAAATGTCTCTAAGAGATTAATTTAAATGTGTATTTTTGTTTGGTTTAATTTGTGTTTTATCAGAAAAATATATATGTTATACTTTTTAGGGAAATGTTAATAACCCAAAACTTTTCCAATATGTTTAAATTTGGAGTATATATATTTTTTGTTATTAGTAGATTGGGATTTTCCTAGAAACTATGTGTATCCCCCCACCCAATCTCTTATTGATGACCTTGGCAGACACTTTTATTTGCATTGTTTTGTTGATGTTGTTTTTTTTGCAGACAAGGAAGCAAGGATTTATTAAGGAGATGGCGCCATGCCCAGGGTCTTAGGTAGCTCACACTCAGAGATCTTGCTCTTATTTCATTCTTAAAATAATATATCAAAACTGAAAAGAAAAAGAAAAACACACCAAGAAAGTAGATTGCTGTATTGTTTTCAATCTTTCCATCAAATTGGCGTCTACCAAATATAAATTTTTAACTTTCAGACGTACTGATTAAGGTCCATTATTCCATCTTTCATAAAGAAATGGGCAAATTGAACATGATCATTATCAAACTATATTAAGGGTGTGTCTATTTCTTCCAATGATTAGTTTGAAAATTCTGGATAATAGTGGCCTCTATCCAGCTGGATGCATATAGTCAACAGTCAGGTGGATTTGGATTGTTCTTTTTAAAAAAAAAATTTTTTTCCTTTACTGATTTTAGAGAGAGAGAAAGGGAGAGGGAAAGAGATAGAAATGTTGAGCGAGAACATGTATTGGCCACCTCCAACATGGCCTCCAATGGGGATTGGGCCCAAAACCTGGACATCTGTCCTGACCGGGAATTGAACTTGTGACCTCTTGGTGTATGGGTTGACACTCAACCACTAAACCACACCAGCTGGACTTGGATTGACCTTTATGTTCCCCAAACATGTAACTACTTCTTTCTACCTTGGATTGTTCTGAAATACTGTCTCAAACACAGAAGGGAAGAAATCATAGTCAGCATTTTGATTTTCTCTCACAGGTGTTCTATACGTTCTTTGTTGAATCATTCCCCTTAAGCGTTTAGGCAGCATGTACTGTTAGGCAGCTATAGATTGGAGTCTAGAATAGGACACACAGCCTGAACAAACCAGCAGCCACTAGCTCATTATTTTCAATGTACTGCAAGTGATAATATTATAATATAAATTGTGCATAAGAGTCTACAGTGAAAGACCTTTGCTATTGTAAGATAGTTTGTCTCATGCCACATCCCACTGGTGAAGATAAAAGCCAAAGGATGCTAGAACAATGGAAAATATAAATAGCCTTTCATACTTCTTCAGAAAGTGAAAAAGTGCAGTGGTGTTGGAAAGCTGCTTATCTCTTTAGTTCTGAATAAAAGTGACCTATTTCTGTAGCTCTCAATGATGGAAACTTGTATTTTCAGTGAAAAATTGCCCAAGAGATTTGAGCAACTCTGGAAAGAACAAAGGGTGAATTATCTTAAAAATAGGATAGCCAATATTTTGAGTTTATTCATAAGGATTATTTTTCAGAATAATTGAAGAGAATAATTTATCTAGGATTAAAGTAATCTAGAATTCAGAATTAATTTAAAATAATCTGGTACCCAGAAGTTTCTTAAATTTGAAGCAATTAATGAGTATGTGGTCTAGACTGATAGTTGTCAGGGCAATTATTTTTCAGCCAAAATACATTTTGTTCATAGATGAAACATATTTATTTTTAATAATGTCCAAAGTTGAGCTACAGATAAAAATGTAATGGGAAATGACTTTCTTTTTTTGGAGAGAAAAATGTAGGAACCTATTTGGCTGGGATTTGGGAATTCAATTCTGTATGCAGTTTCTGAGGCCTTAGATCGTCAGGTTTAAATAACTTCTCACTTTTAAACAAAGAGACTTAGGAAAATGTAACCCGTGTTTCTGTCCCAGTGATAGTCCTTTTAAGAGGCTTAATTAAATCTTTAAATTTACACCCACTCATTTTTGTACCTTTAAACTTATATTTCATTTGGTTATTACCTTTGTCAAAGGTAATATTCTTGTTAAACTAAAATAATGAAAACTATATTTCCAAATGGTGGCATCTGAAACAGTTTTTAAACACATTTCAGTGCATATTACTGTTTAAAAGACTGAGGGCATCTTTCAGAGCAGAGAGAGTGTCCAGGTGAGCTTGCACACACACAAAGAAAGACTTTTTTCTTTTTTACATTACAACTCAATTATTTTGCAAAGTAAGCAAAGACAGCCAGGACTGGAAGAACATGAGAGAGATGAAAAATGCAAGATACGGTGGAAAAGAACAGATAAATGTTTTGGCTAATTTAGATTTCCATTCACTATTACACAAAAATCATATTTAATATTTATTTTTTGGAATAAATCCAACCAGAACTTATTATGCAGCATGATACTAAGGAGGACAGATTTTAAGGCTGAATCTACGATTAACTGTGTAACTTTGGGTGATGACGTTTGGGCTTTTCTGAGCCTCTATCTTCACCTGGACATGGGGTCATTAAAACACTCACACATGGTTGTTCTCAGAGAAAAAGATAGATAAAGATAGAGAGACAGAGATAGATAGATAGATAGATAGATAGATAGATAGATAGATAGATAGATAGAGAGACAGACAGACAGACGGACAGGGAGTTATATGTGTAGGAAAGAAGGAAAGATTAATTCAAGGCCAGAAGGGATTAAAAAGGAAGAAATGGTATTTTTTTTTTAAGCTAAGTTGACTCTTAAAAGACAAGTAGAGATTTTTCAGAAATTTTTAACTGTGGAGAGATGAGCTAGGGAGAGATATTGCAAGAATTGGGCATCTGTTTTCTACACTGAACGCTGAATCCAACAAACCATTTGACTTTTTTGTATTCCTCTCGTGGCTCTGCTCTTAGACCCAGAGCCACCACCATGTGTCTAGCAAGCCAGAGGGCCACTTGCAGTTTTGCATGTCTGAGTCATCTCATTAGACAGCTGTGCCTTTTCAGAGAGCTGGGCTGCAGAGATGTACAGTGTGCATCGGTGACCAGATGGACCCCGAAACAAATTAGTGCCCAGGATGGTTGAATAATTTGATATGTGGAAAAGTCCATCTTTATAAGTGAATAGACAGATAGATGACACATTGGCCTAAGATACACTACTACTTTGACTCATTCACTGTTTTTGAAGGATACATTTTAAAAGAGGACATAATAATAACTCTTATACAAATATAAATGAACACATTTCAGATCTATTATTTAACTCATTAATGAAGGAACTGGTTAGATATTACCTATGTCTAAAAGAGAATAATGAATGCTGAAATGAATTTATAAATGGATGCAAATGAGCAAACCTTGTTCATATCTACAGGCCTATCATTAGTGGCATTACATTGGGAATAATTTGCTTTTCTGTGGACAGGAATTATTTGAACTGCTATGATAGGGAGATTTCTAAGATAACCCCCAAGATGCCTGCCTTCCCTGGTATACATACCCTGTATAATCCCCACCCCCACGCTTTTCCTTGCATGTGGGCAAGACCTGTGATTGGATAGTTTCTCCCTTGATTAGGTAACACTGTAGGGCAAAGGCGATGGGTCCTGTGATTAGGACACTTTATATAAGACTCCATGCTGGCATCCTGGAGAGAGATTCTCTTGCTGGCTTTGAAGAAGTAATCTGACCTGTTGTGAGGGCCTATGGCTAGGACTGAGGACAGCCTGAGGGAAGTCTGTAGGAACTGAGCGACCCCAACAGCAAGGAACTGAGCTCCGCTAGCAATCTGAATGAACTTGGAAGAGAATGCTGAGGGCCAGATGAGAACGCAGTCCTGGCCAGCACCTTAATTCCAGCCTGTGATTCCCTGAGCAGAGGACCCAACTGCATCCTGCCTGGCCTGGAGGCCTAGAGAAACTGAGAGATAACAAATGGGTTTGGTTTAAGCGACTACATTCGTAATGATTTGTTACATAGCAATAGACAATTAATTTAATTACTATCTTTTTTCCTACAGATTGACTACAACTCTAGAGAGCTGTAGCTGAGCCTAGTCAGAGACAGAGAGAGAGAAAACCTGAATGGCTGAGCTACCCGGATGGCCACTGAATTTTAGTACTTTGACAGCGTTTTCTTGCTCTGCGTTGACCCAGGCTGTCCCTAAACTTTTACATTTGTGATCATTTCATAGTGTGTTTGCTCTGCTTTAGTTTTTGCTTTAACCTAGTTTTTGGTTCCTAGGCGCATACAGTAGGAACAAAGCTTGATTTGAAAATAGTGTCCAGGGGGATTTACCCATTTGTGTTAAAGGAGGAAACACAATTTTCTTTTCAGATTGATTTTAGACCAGACTTCCAAGGTTCTGAGTAGACCACATTAAAACGCCGTGAAGGTAGTCAGTGTGTCCTGCCCATACTGCATGTGATAAAAGAGGGCACTCGCTAGCCAGGGTTCGGGAGGACAAGCACATCCCAAAGAGCCTCCGAAAGTTGAAAGGATTAGTTAGGTCTGAGAAACCCATTGTCTTATCAGGAATGCTACCTTGAATTAAATGGATGTAAAGTAGAATTTGCAATTAAGTGGACTGTAGATGACTCAAGGTATGAGATATGAGGACTAGGAACAGCATAAGAGAGAGCCCACAGGCTGCAGGGGAGACTGGATGTGAGGCAGATCAGATGGCCCTGAGCCAAGAGGAGCAGATGGTCCACTAACTAAAGAGAGACCAGAGAGGCAGAGGAGAACCATGTGGAGCAATGTGCGACTCCACGTATCTAAATTCGGCATTTCCATATGATTTCATGGGACAGTCCAGCTCGTGCAGGAGCTGAAAAGATCATTATAATAGGACAATGGATGTGTCTGGAAGAAGATCCCTAGTAAAGCCTTGGACGGTTAGAGCACTTTTGGACTTTTGGGCCCTATTTCCTCATTTTAGAGATAAAACTGAACCACGATCACACAGGGAGCTAATGGCAAATCTGGAAACTGAATCCAGTTTTCTTTAGACTCAGTCCAGTGTGATTGCTACTTGCCTACATAGTTTATCTCCAAGAAGAAAATAAGTAAGAAAGTAAAGTAAGTAAGTAAGAAAGTAAGGAGGAAAGACTAGTGAGAAAGGGAGAAGGTTCCAATTGTTTGAGATTACCAAGGGCATAAGTGATTCACAGAGAAAAAGGGGTATCTGAGAAAGAAAGAAGACGACAGATCTGGCCATTTCTTGGATAAAAAGTGCAAAAGACAAAACAAATAAAAAACTAAAACAAGAAATAACCAAAACAAACACCAGAAAACGATGAGATTGGATGTACTGGCTACCTATTGTAAAAATGAGTTACCACAAACTTAGTGGCTTAAAATAACACACTTGCTCTTTCACCGTTTCTGTGGGTCTGGGATCGGCCTAGCTTAGCTGGGCCCTTTTGCTTCTGGGTCTCGTACAAGGCTGCAATTAAGATGTCAGTCAGGGCTGCAGTCTTATGTTAAGGTCCGACTGGGGAAGAATTCACTTCCAAGTTTATGTGATGGGTGGCAGGATCCAGTTTCTTGCCAGCTATTGGCCAGATGCCACCTCTCCTAACCACAAGGGCTTCTCAACAGAGCAGCTCACAACATGCTAACTTGCTTCACTGAACCAAACACAGGAGAGAGTCTGCTAGTAAGATGAACATTACAGTCTTATGCAACATAATCACAGACGTGACATCCCATCATCTTGGTTGTACTTTATTCATTAGAAGCAAGTCCCAGGTCTTGCCCACGTTCAAGGTGAGAGGATTAGCAAGGCTGTAAATACTAGGAGGTGGGCATCACTGGGGGCCATTTTAGAGTCAGCCCATTAAACTGGAAAACCTAGGATTCCTCCAAATACGCAAGAAAATGTATATAGAAAGGCAGTTAAAGGAAATAAAGTAAAATTGATTAGCTTTCAACCTCCACCAAATCCCAGAATGAAACCTAGAACTATAAACAATTTGAGATGGATATTTGATATAGACCGTGGAGAGAAAGTGACTACATGTAGCTCATAAGAAAATATGAAATGATAAATGGACAGCCGAGTGTAAGAAGAAACTAGGGAAGAGCTGATCTTAAAACGAACAAAAGCCAGCATGCTGCCCGAGAAAGTAACGACAGTTAACATAGATGGAGGTAATGCTTAAGTCTCAGACACAGAAGTTAAAGAGGACTGGGGACAGAAACAAAGGCATTTCACAGCTTCATGAAAATAGTATCCTTTAAACAAGAAGAGCAGAAGTGAGGTTAGAGAGACTTAGGAGATAATAGTCATGGGAAGTAAGAATAACCTACGTGGTTTAGTATAAAAGTCACAGGACGAGGAGGGAGGGGAACCCAGCAGCGGCTGTGGCTCCAAAGAGGTGAGGAAAGTCAGCCCTGTTAGCTCTGCTGTTTCCCCCAGCAAGCGGTCTCTACCGAAAGGCACTGCGAGACGGTCAAGGAAAAGGGTTTGCATTCTCTTTCAGGAAACTCGCCAAATCCACGCTGGTCCTGGTGCTGGTCTTCGGCGTGCATTACGTTGTGTTCGTGTGCCTGCCCCACTCCTTCTCGGGGCTCGGGTGGGAGATCCGGATGCACTGTGAGCTCTTCTTCAACTCCTTTCAGGTAGAGGGCCTGCTGTTAACTGGGTTCTTGTATTTTGCTCCTCCACCTCCTCGCCCCTGCCCTTGCAGCCTCTTTCTCTGCCTCTCTCTGGCTTTCACGCACCTGTCTCCCAAGGGCCGTGAGAAGGTGCTTGTCCATCCCGCAGAGGTCAGGTTACCCTGTGACCAAGCCTGGGTGGCAGACGAGAAAGTGCGCTGTCAACGGTGTGCCACCTACAAAACAGTGACCCTGCGTGTGAGCGGAAAATGAGTGAAAGCAAAAAAAAGGAGAAGGCAGGGAAGAGGAAAAAAGGAGATAAAACAGAGAAAGAGGTGACTTCTATAGATTTTATTTTGTTTCAAAATAATGGCATCGTCCGTCACATGGATTGCTGCAGATGCCCCCTGACCCTTATGGGGTATGTATCTGTTGCCACCTCCTGCCGCCTTCAGTCTCGTCTCCATAAATAGTCTGAAGAACCTTAAAAATAGGTTGATTGTGTCACTTATCTGACAGAAGTATCTGGAAGCTTCCTATTGCACTCAGAATAAAATCCAAATCCATTCCCTGGCGTGGCAGGGTTCCTCAAGCTCATTCCTGCCTCAGGGGTTTGTACTTGCTGTTCCCTTTGCCTGGAATGTTCTTCCCCTTAATATTCATAAGGCCTGGCTGCTTCTTGTCACTCAGATCAGCTTAAATGTCACCTCTTCAGAGAGGTCTTTATTGAGTCCCTTATCAGATACATCTTCATTCTTCTCTGTCAGCACCGCTTGTTTTTGCATACCCTTATCGTCTTAACATTTTTCTCATGTGGCTATTTGCTTATATTTCACCCCTCTGTATTTCCTTCTAGAACGTAAGGTCTAAGAGAACAGGGTCCTTGTCTGTCTTGATTAGACTGTTTATCTTTGGCACACTGACCACTTTGCATTGTATAAGTTCAATAAATATTTTTGAATGAGTGAAAAACAGTTTGTCTTTTCACCATCTAACACCCTATGTTTGTAGTTTCCAGCATTCACAATGTACAAATGTCTCTTACCAACCAGGGGATATTCAGTGATCCTTGAGTGGCAACACAAATGACGGGAATATAATAGAAATCAGTTCTTTGTGTATCTTGGCATGTTTGATTCAGTTGCTTGCTCGGTTCAGCTGACACCAAGCAAAGATCTCAGACAAATTTATTTTATTTTTTATTGTTGAATGTATTACAGATGTCCCCCTTTTCTCCCCCACTGACCCCTCCTTCCTTTCCACGCTCATCTTCCTCCACTTTCCCCAGCCTAGTGTCTGTGTTGATTGGTTGTGCATATATGTATATAAGTTCTTTGGTTTATCTCTTCCCTCCCTTCCCACCCCCCATCCTTCTGAGGTTTGTCGGTCTATTCCCTACTTTTATGATTCTGGATCTTTTTTGGTCGATAGCTTATTTTGTTTCACAAATAAGTGAGATCATGTGGTACTTGTCTTTCTCTGACTGGCTTATTTCACTTAGCATAATACTTTCCAGGTCCCTTCATGTCATCTCAAAGGATAAGATATTGTTCTTTCTTACAGCTGCATAGTATTCCATTATGTACATGTACCATAGCTTTTTTTTTAATCCTCACCTGAGGACATGTTTTTCCATTTTTTTTGGTTCAGATAGAGTGGGAGGGAGAGAGAGAGAGAGAAAAAAAAACATCGATGTGAAAGGGACACATCAAGTGGCTGCCACCCACATGACCAACCAGGGCCGGGGACAAACTGCAACTGAGGTGCGCACCCTTAGAGGGAACCAAACCCGGGTCTTTCTGGACTGCAGGCCTATGCTCTAACCACTGAGTCAAACCGGCCAGGGATGTACCACAGCTTTTTTATCCACTCATCTACTGATGGGCACTTGGGCTGTTTCCAGATCTTAGCTATTGTAGATAGCATTGCTATGAACATAGGGGTACATATATTCTTTCTGATTGGTGTTTCAGGCTTCTGAGGGTATATTCCTACAAGTGGGATCACTGGGTCAAATGGAAGTTCAATTTTTAATTTTTTGAGGAAACACCATATTGTTTTCCATAGTGGCTGCACCAGTCTGCATTCCCACCAGCAGTGTGCTAGAGTCCCCTTTACTCAACATTCTCATCAGCATTTGTCATTTGAGGATTTGCTGATGGCCCCCATGATCTCAGACAAATGTAAAGCCAACTTAAAGATGTGAAAATATTAGGAGAGCATAATGTATACATTTTTCTGAAGGAATAAATTGACACGAGACACTGTAATGCTGTGGTCTTCGTGAATGGTCAGCACCTAACGTGCATTTTTGTTTCCAGGGTTTCTTCGTGTCTATCATCTACTGCTACTGCAATGGAGAGGTAGGTTCAAAGGAAACCCAGACATCTCACAGGTCTCCATCACAATGGGACGCGAAGCTTTTCAGGATTCCCAGGAGTTACAGGACAGATAGGCAGGGAGAGGAGAGATATTTTAATCATAAAGTATTTTTAAAAATGTTTTTTATTGATTTTTTAGAGAGAGAAGAAGGGAAAGAGAGATAGAAACATTGATGAGAGACAAACATCGATTGGCTGCCTCCTGCACGCCCCCTTGTGGGGATGGAGCTTGCAACTGGGCATGTGCCCTGACCGGGAGTCGAACCAGGATCTCTCAGTCCATGGGAGAGCGCTCAATCCACTGGGCCTCACTGGCTGGGCTAATCATAAATTATTTTGAGAAAGTAAGAATTCATTTTAATAAGCTAAGGTCAATTCAGTTATAAACCCTGATATCAAAACCAACTTGTTGGAATGCAAATTGAGACTTGGAAGGATGGTGAACTTCATATTCCAGTTAATGTTTAAATTTATTAATCAATTTCAAGGTCTATAAGAAACTCAAATATGTATTCTTGGGCCAAATCCATTAGAACACTTGGACATTTTTAATAAATGTTTTCATTGATTTTTTTTTAGGGAGAGAGAGAAACATCGATGTGAGAGGGGAACATCGATTGGCCGTCTCCTGCACGCCCCCTACTGGGGATCGAACCTGCAACTGGGCATGTGCCCTGACTGGGAATCGAACCAGGACCTCTAAGTCCAGGGGGCTACACTCAATCCACTGAGCCACACCAGCCGGGCCATTTTGACATTTTTAAACTACAATGTTTAAAAATGGTGGGATAATGTGGTGTGGTGGGATAATTTCTGTTCGTCTGGGAGTTGAACTGTTCTTTCAGGTGACATCAGCTTACCAGGTTTGCATTCTCCCATGGAACTTGCAAATGAGCTTCCTTCCGGAAAGTGGCACTAACAACAGGGTTGACTCTCCAGCTGAAAGAATGGAACCCCCCCCCCCCGCCCCCCATTGAGAATGCATTAGGTGCTTGCTTCTCGGTGTACACTCCTCCTTCCCGGTCCCCCGGTCAGTGTGCCCCTGCACGGTGACAGAGTGGAGGTCACACTTCAGGTTGAGTCCCCTTCCTGCCCTTCCTCAGCCACAGCCACAGCTTATGTCTTTCTCCTCCAACCCAGTCCTCTTTGTCCTCTCCCACAAGTCTATTGGCTGTATTTCAGACTTTATTACAGTACTAACCTGGGACAAATCCCTCTACCTCCCTGTCAGCCTCAGTTTGTTCATCTCCAGTAATAACACCTTCTTGGAAGTTGTTTGAGGCTGAGAGAGAACATGCCAAGTCCCTGGCACAAAGTGGTCTCTTAATGAATATTACCACTGTCACTGAAGCCAGGGCAAACACTCGTCTAACAAAGCCTCAGGGTCTCCCTGGCGGTTTCTGATGCACGACGTGGTTCTTGCGGTTTAGGTTCAGTCGGAGGTGAAGAAGATGTGGAGTCGGTGGAATCTGTCCGTCGACTGGAAAAGGACGCCCCCGTGCGGCGGCCACAGATACGGCTCGGTGCTCACCACCATGACGCACAGCACCAGCAGCCAGTCGCAGATGGCAGCCAGCACTCGCATGGTCCTCATCTCTGCCAAAGCCACCAGGCCGGCTGGCCGGCAGCACGACAGCCACGTGACTTTACCCGGCTATGTCTGGAGTAACTCAGAGCAGGACTGCCAGCCACACTTGAGCCAGGAGGAGACCAAGGAAGGTAACAGGAGGCAGGGAGAAGAAGCTCCAATGGAGGTGTCTTCCAGGCCAGTGGAATGCACCCCAGAACCTGGAGGAAGCAAAGGAGAAATAGAGGATGTTCTGTAAATCAACATCTGTGGCTTGAAGAGCTGGTCCATCGGGTTGTCCGAGAGCTGATGGTCCAAGAGTTTGGCTGTCATCCCTCTGCTTGAGCCCCAGAGCTGAAAATCCAGGGTTGAAGTGTTTCTTTACAAAGTTTCCAGGCTCCATGAATTGGCTCCATAAATACTGAGGCTACAAAAGGAGAAGTGTCACCGGCGTAGTCTATCACCTTATTTTGGCATCTGATTCTCTTCTAAGTTGATGTGTGGTACTTGCTCTGCGACTGTTCATTTTTTCTGCTACATTTGGGTGGAAAACGTTTTAATTGCTTGGCTTTAGTTTTCTCTTATAAATGCTATGCCAAGTGTGATAGCGATCATTTAGTACGTGTCATTTCCTTTTAGGAAACGAAGCCTCTCTCTTTCTCTTTCTCACTTGAATGTACTTCTAGCACTGCCTTCATTTTGTCTGTGTGTAGGAGCAATTAGGGCCTGAAAATGTGTGTTGAAACATTAAAGATCTAAGAACAAATACATACTGGTGTGTAAGTTAGCTGGACTTTGATAAGGTAATACATTGATGGCAGTGAAACTTGTTTCTTTCTAGGAACCAGGAAAGTCGCTTAAAAAAGAATATTGCATATAGTCCTCCTTTTGAATGTCCCCTCAGTGCCCAGCCACATCTCAGGTCTTCTCTCCTTTGTAAACCTTGACCTGTCACAAGGTTTTCTGTTGGTGAGCTTGTATCTGCAAACTAATTTTGTTTGTAATCATTTATATCGATCGTAAATCACACTGCATCCGTGCTTTTTCCTTCTTTGTTCTATTACAATATTACAAATGGCATGTGGGATAAATTAAAAGTTGGTTTTAAAAATACATTTGGGTCACTTTTTAGCATTTTCTCTCAGCATCTCAGTTTGTTTTGAGGAACCAAACGAATCTCCCTTCTCCACGTCTACAGAGATCAGCATGTAGCTCCAGTATTTTTCTGAACTTGAAATTTCAGTATGTTGCAGCAGTAAAACATTTACTGAGTGCATGTCAGGTACCCAGCATCCTACTAGGTGTTTACAAGCATTGACTTGCTTAATCCTCATGACAAACTTATGGAATAAGTCTTATCATTATCACCCTTTTTACAAATGATATTGTGACTCACAGAGGTGGAGTAATTTGCCCAAAGTCACTGAGCTAGTCAGTGACAAAGCACAGTTTTAGACAAAGATCTACTGACTTCAAGTCCCATGTTCTTAACTGTTATGCTCTACTGTCACCAATATAATGTCACCCATTAACCACTCAAAAAATGTGAATGAATGCTTCTGTGTAGACAGTGCTTCAGGAGCTCTTATTGTAATATGTTTTAGTCTCTGACCCTCATGAAGTTTTCACTGTAGTGGGTCAAATACACACAGGAAATGAAAATATCACAGAGCAGTGTATTTCCAGGTGAGATGACATAGGTCCAGCTGATTGATCTCATCTTGCTGAGTGGTTTAACCAACATGCAAATGGTGTCATGATGAGTAAGGTGCTCTGATGTCTACACGTCCTCTTGACATATATTCCAGTCTCTTTCCAAGCTCTTTCTTTCCTTCCTCCTCCGTGCACAGTGTCAGTCCTTCCCTTCCCTTCCTGTTTATGAAAGTGCCACTGCGCATGTTTAATTAATCTGATTCACTTCTATGCCGTCACATCCCCACATTGTAACATAAAAATTGCACACAAATACTTGGTTTGGGTTGCTGTTACATGATTGTTTTCAGTTAAATTCCTTTTGCCCCATTATATTATAAAAAGTCTCATTGGATGGCTGCCATCAACAAATCATCAAACAAGTGTTGGCGAGGGTGTGGAGAAAAGGGGACTCTAGTACACTGCTGGTGGGAACGCAGACTGGTGCAGCCGCTATGGAAAACAATATGGTGTTACCTCAAAAAATTAAAAATTGAATTGCCATTTGGCCCAGTGATCCCACTTCTAGGAATATACCCTAAGAAGCCTGAAACACCAATCTGAAAGAATATATGTACCTCCATGTTTGTAGCAGCACTATTTACAATAGCTAAGATCTGGAAACAGCCCAAGTGTCCATCAGTAGATGAATGAATAGAAAAGCAGTGGTACATATACACAATGGAGTACTATGCAGCTGTAAGAAAGAAAGATCTCTTATCCTTTGAGATGACATGGAGGGACCTGGAAAGTATTATCCTAAGCAAAACAAGCCAAGCAGCAAAAGACAAATACCACACGATCTCACTTATTTGTGGAATATAATGAAGATAACAGTCTGAGGAATAGGGTAGACCCAGAGACGTGGAAGTAGGGTACAGACTGACAACCCTCAGAAGAGGAGGTGGTGAGGGAGGGAAGAAATAAACCACAGAACTTATATGCATGTACGCCTAACCAATGGACATGTACAACAAAGCCAGGGACAGGGCGGGGAGGATGGGGAGGAGGGTGTCAATGGGGTAAAAAAGGAGAAACATCTGTAACAAAAATAAAATAAAAAAAAAAAAGAAATAAAAAGTCTTATTGGTAATTGCAACATAATAATCATTAGAAAAATGTATATATAGTTGATAATATGGAAAATATTAAGAATTTTTACTTTCTAAGCCAACCCCACATTCTAAGGCTGAACCATTACTTCTTTACATTAACAAGTATGAATAAAGCCCTCAGAGTTACAGAGGTTTTCCTTAGAGTTTAGTCATTCATTGATTCAACAAACACTGACTTCGAGCCTACTGTGCGACAGACACGATGCTGTGTGCTGGGGCCACAACAAAAATAAGACATCGTCTGTTCCCTCGAGAAACAACCCTTCAGTGGCTAGGACTCTTGAGCTCATCTGTGTACACATTTTTCTCTTCTAGGTTTTGATAATATTTGCATCTGATTAGACAGCTAGGACAATAAGTTACACTAATCTATTGATTTTATGAAGTAAAGTATCAGGCAGTTATCAAGGACTGGCTGATCTAGACCTGAAGGTGCAACCTACTGGCTGATAAGTGAAATTTGCTGCATTATTATTTTTTTTGCTCTGTCATGGGTTGCAGTATATTATTTAGTTGCAAACATGGAAAATTTAAACTATTCCACATAAAAATTATACTTTCTTAATGATGAAACTATTAGAGGACCTTATGTGACAACAATCAGCAGCTGCCACTGAGTGGTGGCTGGTGGCTGGCCCCTTCAGATGGGACAGAGGGGCTCTAGGATGCCCATTGCCTTCCTAGCCATTTCCAATCATTTCTTTTTTTTTCTTTTTATCTTTATTGTTGAATGTATCACAGATGTTCCTCATTTTCCCCCCATTGATGCCCCCCTCCTGCCTTTTCCCACACTGTTGTCGGTGTCTATTGGTTATGCATATATGCATATAAATTCTGTGGTTTATTTCTTCCTACCCCACACCCCCTTCCCTTTGAGGTTTGTCAGTCTAGCAATGAATTTGTACTTCTTTTTTTTTTTTTTATCCTCACCCGAGGATATTTTTCCATTTTTTTGTACAGATAGAGTGGGAGGGAGAGAGAGGAAGGGAGAGAGAGAGAGAAACATCGACATGAAGGGACACATCGAGTGGCTGCCACCCGCACGACCAACCAGGGCCAGGGATAAACTGCAACCGAAGTACGTGCCCTTAGCGGGAACCGAACCCGGGTCTCTCCGGACCGCAGGCCGACGCTCTAACCGCTGAGCCAAACTGGCCAGGGCGAATTTGTACTTCTTAATCCCTTCACCTTTTTCACCCATTCCCCCAAGCCCCCTCCCATCTGGCAACCAACAAAATGGTCTCTGTATCTATGAGAATGTTTCTGTTCTACCTGTTCATTTTGTTTGCAGATTCCATTGTTGATAGATATGTATTCATTGCCATTTTGTTTGTTCATACATTTTATCTTTTTCTTCAAAAAGACCCTTCATCATTTCATACAATAATGGTTTGGTGGTGATGAACTCCTTTAACTTTTTCTTGTCTGGGAAACTCTTTATATGGTCATCGATTCTAAATGACAGCTTTGCAGGATAGAGTAATCTTGGTTGTAGGTTCTTGCTTTTCATCACTCTGAATATTTTTTGCCACTCCCTTCTGGCCTGCAAAGTTTCTTTTGAGAAATCAGCTGACAGTCTAATGGGAACTCCCTTGTAGGTAACTAGCTGCCTTTCTCTTGCTGCTTTTAAGATTCTCTCTTTGTCTCGAACCTTTTGCATTTTGATGATGATGTGTCTTGGTGTGGGCCTCTTGGGGTTCATCTTGTTTGGGACTCTCTGTGCTTCCTGGACTTGTATGTCTGTATCCTTTACCAAGTTAGGGAAGTTTTCTGCCATTATTGTTTCAAACAGGTTTTGAATTTCTTGTTCTCTCTCTTCTCCTTCTGGCACCCCCAAGATGCGAATGTCGGCACGCTTGAGATTGTCCCAGAGGCCCCTTACACTCTCCTCATTTTTTGGATTCTTTTTTCTTTTTGCTGTTCTGATTGGGTGTTTTTTGCTTCCTTATATTCCAAATTGATGGTTTGCTTTTTGGCTTTATCTACTGTACTATTGAATCTGTGTAAATTATTCTTTATTTCAGTTAATGCCTCCTTCATTTCTGACTGTGCATCCTTAATTTCTGACTGGTCCTTTTTTATGCTCTTGAGGCCCTCACTAAGTTCACTGAGGTTCTCACTAAGTCCATTGAGCATTCTTATAAGCATTATTTTGAACTCAGAATGTGTTAGGTTGCTTATCTCCATTTGACTTAGTTCTTTTCCTGGGGTTTTGATCTGTTCTTTCATTTGGGACCTGTTCTTTCTTTGTCTCCTCATTTTGGCTGCCTCCCTGTGTTTGTTTCTGTGTATTACTTAACGAGTGGTATGGGGCTCGCTGAGACCAGATGCTGTGTGTTTGAAAGAATTTAGGAAAACCTGAAGCAGGATCCAAGACAGGCCAATCCTACGGTTAACCAACTGGCAACAGCTTGGGTGGGCCTGAAAGTTGGGTGGGGCGGGACCTCAGGGCATCACCAGGGCGGGGCTACCAGTGTGAGCCAGGTTGCTGGAGTCCCAGACATGGCGGCTGTCTGCCGCCCCAGGGAAGGGCTCACCAAAGGAACAAAGGCCTCTGACAGCATGTTTGTCCGGGAGAAAGCCCCCTCTCCAGCCCTCGCTCCAGTGCCAAACAGCTCAGTTCTTCCCTGTGTGTCTCTGGCGCCCCTCGAGCTGCCTCCCCTCCAAGCTTAGAGGGAGAGAGTCCGGTAAGTCCATGCGCGGGCCCTTTAAGGAGCTGCCTGGGGCTCCACCCACCTCAGCCTCTCTCAGCCTCAGGTCCCGCTGGTTTTACAGCCAGAAGTGATGGGGATTCTCTTCCTGGCACTGGAACCCTGAGCAGGGC